CGCCTCGCCGCCGTTCCCCGCAACACCCTGTCGACCCAATCTCACATCCTCCTCTCGCCCGCCCGAGGTGAGCACTTGTAGTTCCTCTGGATTGGTTGGTAGGCGCTGGTTCGTAGGTCTCGGATCCAGCCAGCGTGGTCTCCCTCCGCGTGCATCCGGAGTTTCTCGTTCCGATTGTGGTTGGTAGGCGCGGCGCGGCGCGGGTTCATAGGTGTCGGATCCAGCGCCGTCTGTATCCTATTCGTATGTGGAACCTCGGCTAGGATAGGATTTAATTAGTTAGGTTTTGTATTAGGGTAACACCACCTAGGGTTCGATTGATTATCCGTAACAAGGAATCAATCTGACGTTTTAGTTAGGGTTTGCTTGGTTGGTTGTGGTCAGATTTTGGTTTCTCATGAATTCTTCAACTGTGCCTGTCGCGATTTTGGGCGGAAATTGATGATTGATTTCGGGGGCAAAATCCGAGGTAATTTGTGGATGAAAGATGGGGAAACTTGGGGAAACCAAGCAAATCCATGGATCAAAATCAACAAAACTTCATCATGCCAACAAATCACAAAAAAAATTTGGTGGGGAAATTTCGAATTAGGACGAAAAACAACAAGATCAAAGCTAGAAAACGAATATTAATTTGGATGGAATTCATGCTATGTTGTTCGATTTCAGTTTATGCCTGCCAGAATGTTTAATTTTTTGTTTTATCAACTGTGTTTGAGCGTACTAGATTTTTTGTTGCATATTCATCTTCTTGCTCTGTTTGGATAGGTAACAATTAATATTTGGGATCCTAAAATATTTATGCACTGGCAGCACTTAACCTGCAGCTGCTGATTAATGTTGTATTCATATGTGCTGCTTTCCAGCTCTCTTGTTTCGATAGGTATTTGGTTATCGTTTGGGTCTATTTATTATCGTTTGTAAATGCTGGTTTGGTTTTCTGTGCTCACTATTCCCTTGCACATGGGATGCAATTTTTTTATTTCCCTGCTGTTTAGTTTATTGTTTCCTCTGATGGTGAGGCATTAATTCTGGAGATAGATGCAATTTTCTTGCTCACACAATAATACAATGAATGATGGCATCTCTTATCTACTTTGAACCAAATTATATTATATTCCCCCCTCTGTTAAATATTTTTCTGTTTTGGGTGATGGAGTGTATTCATTCATTTTGTTTAGTTGCCTATCAGTATAAATACATGGCTGGATTGCTTTCACTTCATATTAATAACTATTCTGTCGCACATTGCAAATATATATGCTGTCCTAACTAATTAAGTAGAAGCTTGGATTGGTGCTGTATGGTCTCTTGCTGACATTAAATCCTCCTCTGTTTGTGCTGTACTGTTCTGCTGCTGCAGTCTTCTTCGCCGCCAAAAGGAAAAGATGCTCTACAAAATCCACTCCCATGCCGAAATCCAAGCCCTGCAGGCCCGCACCGATGAGCTGGGCCACTCCAATGAGCACATGGATGTGAAGCTTGTCTCTCTGGAGTCGGTGCGCATAGCGCGCGAGTCGTATGCACTCCTCCGCCCGCTGATCATGGAGTCGAGGTCCTGGGAATGCCCGGAGCTGGATTCCCTCTCGGACGTGGCAGGCTTGTCGCTGGAAATCCAAAAGCTCGAGCATGATGTGTTACCCCAGCTCACGGTTCAGGAGGCTAAGCTGGAACGGGGTGCCCTGGAAGCCCTCCTACTCATGAAGAGCTCAGCAGCTAAGCTCTTACCTATGAGTAAGTGCTTGAAGGAAGCCTTGGGCGTAGTGCTTGCCGAGGATGTCAAAATGCTGAGCATAGTGCTAAGCGATACTGCTGTTCATGTACTCAAAGGTAAGTTCAACAGTGGCTTGCTTCAGGAGCGTGTCCCGTGGCTGGTCGAGCTGGTCACCGATGTGTTGGAGACCCCGGTTCGTTTCTGTGATACTCGTAAGCGTAAGTATTCTGATGAGTAGACTTATCAGCCAGCTCGAGGCTGTTGTGATGAGTATTTCTTAGGGGCGTGGCAAACAGTTTAGAATCAACCCTTTATGTTTGTATGTGTTATTAATGGATTTTAAATGATATGTATCTTGGGTGGGTAGTGTTTTCTCATTCTGTGCTAGTCGGGTACAACTTGGAATTACTTTCAGTTTTTTTTTTTTTTTGAGAAACATCCATTCTGTGTTTTACTGTCACATGGAGGTATTCGCTCTTTTTAGGGAATATATAGAAGAAAAGAGGCATACTTTAGAACGTGGATGGATTCACTCATTTTGCTCCGTATATAGTTTTCTACTAGTGAAATTTCTTAAAAGACATATATTTAGGAACGGAGGGATCTGTGAGTGTCCATGATTAAAGCTTTGCAAATACCATAAACAAAACATCACCTTGTACATATAAAGTGATGATTATTTTTACACTAACTAGTTTGGCAAGAAGTACTTCCTTCGTAAATAAAGAAACATAAGAGTGTTTGGATTATCATTTCTTTAGAGAGGGAGTAGTATATATATATAATTGAATTAATAATCTCTACTCCTAAAGTTGGTCGTCTCCGTTCATCGGTTAATTTTCGTCCCACCAACACCGATTTTTTTTCGTCCTCCCTCACACCCCAGGGCCGTCGAACAAAAAAAAAGGGCTGGCTTAGCTATGCCCCTACGAAGTCAAGGGGCCAAACCTTCGATCGAAACAGAGAGAACCGGATGAAAACAAATCTACAAAAAAGACCTACGAAATTAAACCAACGAAAAAAACGAATCGCACGCAGGTATACGAGCGATTCCTCCTTCCTTTGAACCACTCGCACGCTCACTCCTTCCCTTCGCCCCCGCCGCTCGATCCCTTCGTCGCCGCCCTCTCACATCAAAGCCGCCATCGATATGCCCTGCCGGATCTCGCCTCAGCCCCGCCGTCTTGTGATCTGGAGTTCACAGCCTCCGCCGCCGATATCCTCGCACGCGTTAGGGTTCCTGCGCCGCCGCCACACAGGAGCTCGTCGACCAGCCCAGCGTCCTGCTGCTCCGCGCTTGCTTCCCTCGTCGGTCGCCTTTGGACCCCTTGCTTCGGACTCCGCGCCAAGCCGCCGCCTCTTCGCCGAGAAAGAGGGCTCCCGATCCCCGTCGTGGTCGATCATCAGCGCGACGGGCAGAGTACCCAGCCCGTAGGCTCATCCCCTTCTCCGATCCACCCCGGCAGCGGCCATCGTCGGTACGTTCCGCTTGTGATATATCGGTGTAGGCTCATCCCCTTCTCTTTATCTAAAGGACTGTGCTAACCACCAGTCGACTGGTGGTTAGCAACAGATCCGCACGACCTTGGATTGATCCTTCCGCTGCCTCGTTCCTCCCGCTTCCACTAATTTTTTTCCTTCTCTTAAAAACCGTAGTAAATTGCTAGTGGTTTTTTCTGGTTTTTCGCTGCATAATATGAAAAGAAAATAAAAGTGCTTGAAAGAGGATTCGAACCCAGGTCTATGCAATACCTATTGAGCCTAATAACCAACTAAGCCACCTTTTGTTGTTGTCTATTATAGAATGACAATGTTATTTGAACCTTTCTTATTTCTGCCATATCAAAAGAAAAAGGAAAGTTTGGCTTGGTAACTTTGGCAATGACCAGCGTGATAACTATGGTCTGAGTAACATGATAACTATACCATGATAAGGCTGGTAACTACAGTATGAGAAGGTTAAAAGCATGGGAAAGTATGGTAATTTAACATAGAAATTACCGGTGAAATGTTTCAAAAACTTTTTTCCCTTGGATGAAAGACACCATGGTGTTTAAACGTAAAATATTAGTTATCAAGTCTGCGATGATACATCATCATGTTATTTACACAGAAATTATCGAGTGTATGTTTTTCAACAAAAAAGTTTCAGGTCAAAAGTTATAGTGGCGTTTGTATGAGAGTTATCAATTTTGTATGTTTCTATTACCATGTTATTTACACAGAAATTAGCGGGGCATCACCCCCCCTCGCCACAGTCGCCATATTACCAAGATCGGGTACATAAGTTATCAAGTCTGCGATGTGTGAGTTATCATGTTATTTGCATAAGAGTTATTGTGGTATGGTTCAACAACTCCTCCCACCCCTACCCCCACCGACAAAGTTACCAGGACTGGGTAAATAATTTATCATGTCTACGATGTGTGATTTATCATGTTATTTGCATGGAAGTTACCGTGGTATGTTTCAATGACTCCCCCACCCCTACCCCCACCGACAAAGTTACCAGGACTGGGTACATAATTTATCATGTTTACGATGTATGAGTTATCATATTATTTGCATAAAATTTATCAGGATAGTGATGCGTAAACTATCATCATATTTATACAGAAGTTATCGAGAGTATATTTCATCAAAACCCCTTCCTCCGGCGGAGGGAAAAGTTATCATGTTTGCGGTGCGTAAATTATTGGGGGTATATTTCAGCACCCCTTCTCGCCAAAGTTACCAGGACTGGGGTGCATAAGTTATCGGGTCTCTGATGTCTGAGTTACCATATTGTTCACATCAGAGTAACTGGGGATATTTCATCAACACCACTTCCCTCAAAGTTACCAGGATCGAGGTACATAAGTTTATCAGGTATGTGATGTGTGAGTTATCATGATATTCACACAAAAATGACCCGGGATATTTCATCAACGCCTCCCTCCCGATCGCCAAAGTAATCAGTACCGAGTACACAAGTTATCAGGTATGTGATGTGTGAGTTACCATGCTATACACACACAAAAATTACCAACGGTATATTTCATCAACCTCCTCCACCAAAATTACCATGGTATCATCAACTCGAGACGAGTTGGTAAAATAATCTACTTAAGTGCGGAAAAGAACGGATATTGCATTCACTTTTGTGCAAACATAGAAAAGGAGACAGGTTAAAAAGCCTATTTGCTTTCATTTTTACAAAAGAGGAACGTAGGTGAGGTGGTTGGCTAGTGGGTTACCTTGTAAAAGTTACAAGGATTGAATCCTGTTGGCACACTAATTTTTGACGAGAAAATTCATGTCCCTCGTCACAATTCTTTGATTTTGGAGTTTGACTCTAGCTCCCAGCAAAAAAATTCTGGAATTAGCACAACTTTTATTTTGATGCTATGAGGTATAAAAGGTTAAGTTCTTATGTTTTCCAGTTTGAACAACTAAGATGCTGTAGCTTGTTGGTCGAAGGGAACATGCGGAGCCTGTGTGTCCTGGGTACGATTCCCATCGGGTGCTTTATTTTTTTCCTTGAAAAATAAAGTAGCTAGTGATCTATCGGGAGGTCGAACGTGGATCGTGCATCGAGCGAGTCGTGCGTGCCTGCCACTAATGACCAGTCGGCAGGTATTTAGCTTTGTCGTTAACTAAAAAGGCTATTCTACATACGCCGAGGAGAAGATGCTCACCTTCTCGCCCCTCCCTCTACCGTGATGTACGTGGATGAACCCGACGGCAACGAGGACAACCTCGTAGGATCCAGCCACGATTGTGCGGAATTTCGCGGGGACGAATCTACCCAGCCTCTCGTCCTATCCGCCGCCGGTAGAGGCATCCATGTCCGATGGTGTGAATTTTGGCTGGTCCCATGAGCACTTCGTTCCCTGCCGTGTAGTCTTCGTTGATTCGGGAAGATGGTGGTTGTCTGTTTAGCCATTTCAATCTGCTATTGATCATGCTCATTCTTGTTATATTCAGTTATATTGGAAACACCATCTGATTCAGTTATATTCTTGATCATGCTCATGCTCATCCTTATTCAAATAAGAATACTTCTGTTTGGAGAGCTCGGGCGTCAGCTGTGTGGAAGCACCAGCTGATTTGTAACTGGTCGGAAGGTGAGCTTCTCATACTCGCTGCCGTCGAAGCACGGCACCTCGCCGCCACTTATGTTGCATGTTGTTGTGCTGTAGGTCCTTGGGGTTGGGTGCGGCAACTCGCGACTCGAAGACATTTCGTGCATGTGCTCCCCTGCGCTTGGTGACCAATACATCTACTCCGTTGTGAACATGTGCTTCGTGTCATACAAGTCGCCGCCAAGGGTGAGCTCGTGCAGCTGTACAGGTATAGATGTGCATCCCATAATGGCAGCTACAGTTTCTTTCATAAAGTTATTTGTGTGAGTGCCCTGCATATTGAAGTAAACTGGATCGGCTAATCTTGAGTTCCTCCACCAAGTTATATTACTTCGACAAGAAAAAGTGCAGAAAGACCATATAAAGTACTCTGGTGACTCTCTCAATTGAACTAATTTTTTTTTACATGCGTGAAACATGCACAACGATTTGCTCTATTGAGTCTATGTATGTTGAACTAGCACTCGAATTATAGCTCATGCCGGTATGCTATTTTTCTCTTTCTCATATCAGCTCTCCTTCTTTTTGTCCATTTTTCTTCACTACTACCTGAAGGAAACTGTACTGGATAGCAGCCTATCATATATAGTTACATGTACCGAGTGATTTAGCTTCATTTTAATGATACTGTCAACAACTAACTACTGCTGCGACATATTTGATGCAACCTGTAAAATATTTTTTGTTTAATTTCAGCATATCATTTATATACTGAAGTCTCTTCTGGACATGTTGTCTAATTGCGTCATGTATGTTAGATATTTGTTCTATAATACTTGCCATTGACTAATTTTCTTTTATTTAGGTTATGTGCATTATTGATCAGCCAATCTTGAGAGAGAGATGGGTTGGCGTGAATGGGAAGAAAACTACATTGAATGGACAAGAAGTATGCCCTCAACTTTTTCATGGTATGTCTTACTTATTGTTCTTGTGATTTTTCCATCAGTTTCACTTTACATTTCTTCTTTGCTTTTTCATGGCATCGGGATGCCCACTGGCGACGGTGCTGCGTTGCTACCAAAGGGGCACCCTGCCGCGGCCGGGGACTCGCTGCCGTCGAAGCACGACACCTTGCCGTCACGTATGTTGGGTGTTGTGGTGCTGCAGGTCC